ATGCCGCGACCTCAGGAGTGCCCCAAGCTTTACCTTCATGCCTCGACACCAGGAGTGCCCCAAGCTTTACTTTCATGCCTCGACACCAAGAGTGCCCCAAGCTTTACCTTCATGCCACGACACCAGGAGTGTCCCAAGCTTTACTTTCATGCCGCGACACCAGGAGTGCCCCAAGCTTTACTTTCATGCCTCGACACCAGGAGTGCCCCAAGCTTTACCTTCATGCCACGACACCAGGAGTGCCCCAAGCTTTACCTTCATGCCACGACACCAGGAGTGTCCCAAGCTTTACTTTCATGCCACGACACCAGGAGTGCCCCAAGCTTTACCTTCATGCCACGACACCAGGAGTGCCCCAAGCTTTACCTTCATGCCACGACACCAGGAGTGTCCCAAGCTTTACTTTCATGCCACGACACCAGGAGTGCCCCAAGCTTTACCTTCATGCCACGACACCAGGAGTGCCCCAAGCTTTACCTTCATGCCACGACACCAGGAGTGCCCAAGCTTTACCTTCATGCCTCGACACCAGGAGTGTCCCAAGCTTTACTTTCATGCCTCGACACCAGGAGTGCCCCAAGCTTTACCTTCATGCCACGACACCAGGAGTGCCCCAAGCTTTACCTTCATGCCACGACACCAGGAGTGCCCCAAGCTTTACCTTCATGCCACGACACCAGGAGTGCCCCTAGCTTTACCTTCATGCCACGACACCAGGAGTGCCCCAAGCTTTACTTTCATGCCTCGACACCAGGAGTGCCCCAAGCTTTACCTTCATGCCACGACACCAGGAGTGCCCCAAGCTTTACCTTCGTGCCACGACACCAGGAGTGCCCCAAGCTTTACCTTCATCCCTCGACACCAGGAGTGCCCCAAGCTTTACCTTCATGCCACGACACCAGGAGTGCCCCAAGCTTTACCTTCATGCCTCGACACCAGGAGTGCCCCAAGCTTTACCTTCATGCCTCGACACCAGGAGTGCCCCAAGCTTTACCTTCATGCCTCGACACCAGGAGTGCCCCAAGCTTTACCTTCATGCCTCGACACCAGGAGTGCCCCAAGCTTTACCTTCATGCCTCGACACCAGGAGTGTCCCAAGCTTTATGTAAAGTGATCGTTTGTCAAGGTTTATCAACTACACAACGACAAACAGAAAATATTTTGGTCGGCGGATCCCCTAACAGCAGATAATATATGCTATGTGCACTCACCTAGTTGTGCTTGCGTGGGTTGAGCTCTGGCTCTTTGGTCCCGCCTCTCAACTGTCAGTCAACTGATGTACAGATTCCTGAGCCTACTGGGCTCTATCATATCTACATTTCAAAGTGTGTATGGAGTCAGCCTCCACCACATCACTGCCTAATGCATTCCATCCGTTAACGACTCTGATACTGAAAAAGTTCCTTCTAACGTCCCTGTGGCTCATGTGGGTACTCAAATTCCACCTGTGTCCCCTTGTTCGCGTCCCATCAGTGTTGAATAGTGTATCCTTGTTTACCCGGTCGATTCCCCTGAGGATTTTGTAGGTTGTGATCATGTCTCCCCTTACTCTTATGTCTTTCAGTGTCGTAAGGTGCATTTCCCGCAGCCTTTCCTCGTAACTCATGCCTCTTAGTTCTGGGACTAGTCTAGTGGCATACCTTTGAACTTTTTCCAGCTTCGTCTTGTGCTTGACAAGGTACGGGCTTCATGCTGGGGCCGCATACTCCAGGATTGGTCTTACATATGTGGTGTACAAGATTCTGAATGATTCCTTACACAGGTTCCTGAACGCTGTTCTGATGTTAGCCAGCCTCGCATATGCCGCAGACGTTATTCTTTTTATGTGGGCTTCAGGAGACAGGTTTGGTGTGATATCAACTCCTAGATCTTTCTCTCTGTCCATTTCATTAAGTACTTCATCTCTTATTCTGTATCCAGTGTCTGACCTGTTTCCACTGCCTAGTTTAATTACTTTGCATTTGCTTGGGTTGAACTTCAACAGCCATTTGTTGGACCATTCACTCAGTCTGTCTAGGTCATCTTGTAGCCTCCTACTATCATCCTCTGTTTCAATCCTTCTCATAATTTTTGCATCATCAGCAAACATTGAGAGAAACGAGTCTATTCCCTCTGGGAGATCATTTACCAGATCAGAAACAGTATAGGTTCAAGGACTGACCCCTGCGGGACTTCACTTGTAACGTCTCGCCAGTCTGAGACCTCACCCCTCACACTGACTCGTTGTCTCCTGTTGCTTAGGTACTCCTTTATCCAATGGAGTGCCTTCCCTTTCACTCCAGCCTGCACCTCCAGCTTTTTCACTGGTCTGTTGTGTGGTACTGTATCAAAGACTTTCTGGCAATCCAAAAATATGCAGTCTGCCCACCCTTCTCTTTCTTGCCTGATTTTTGTTGCCAGATCGTACAATTCAAGTAACCCTGTGAGGCAGGACCTGCCTCCCTGAACCCATGTTGATGAGTGTGTGTGTGTGTGTGTGTGTACTCACTTAGTTGTACTCACCTAGTTGTGTTTGCGAGGGTTGACCTCTGGCTCTTTGGTCCCGCCTCTCAACCGTCTATCAACAGGTGTACAGGTTCCTGAGCCTATTGGGCTCTATTATATCTACACTTGAAACTGTGTATGGAGTCAGCCTCCACCACATCACTTCCTAATGCATTCTATTTGTCAACCACTCTGACACTAAAAAAGTTCTTTCTAATATCTCTGTGGCTCATTTGGGCACTCAGTTTCCACCTGTGTCCCCTTGTGCGTGTGCCCCTTGTGTTAAATAGCCTGTCTTTATCTACCCTATCAATTCCCTTCAGAATCTTGAATGTGGTGATCATGTTCCCCCTAACTCTTCTGTCTTCCAACGAAGTGAGGTTTAATTCCCGTAGTCTCTCCTCGTAGCTCATACCTCTCAGCTCGGGTACTAGTCTGGAGGCAAACCTTTGAACCTCTTCCAGTTTAGTCTTATCCTTGACTAGATATGGACTCCATGCTGGAGCCGCATACTCCAGGATTGGTCTGACATATGTGGTATATAATGTTTAATTTAATTACTTTTAATTTACTTTACAGCCATTTGTTCGACCATTCCTGCAGCTTGTCCAGGTCTTCTTGAAGCCTGAAACTGTCCTCCTCTGTCTTAATCCTTCTCATAATTTTGGCGTCGTCAGCAAACATTGAGAGGAATGAGTCTATACCCTCCGGGAGATCATTTACGTATATCAAAAACAGGATATGTCCAAGCACAGAGCCCTGTGGGACTCCACTAGTGACTTCACGCCATTCTGAGGTCTCACCGCTCACTGTAACTCTCTGCTTCCTATTGCTTAGGTACTCCCTTATCCACTGGAGCGCCCTACCAGTTACTCCTGCCTGTTTCTCCAGCTTATGCATCAGCCTTTTATGTGGTACTGTGTCAAAGGCTTTCCGACAGTAAAATGCAGTCCGCCCATCCTTCTCTTTCTTGCTTAATCTTTGTCACCTGATCATATAATTCTATCAAGCCTGTAAGACAAGATTTACCCTCCCTGAACCCATGTTGATGGGTTGTCACGAAGTCTCTTCTCTCCAGATGTGTTACTAGGTTTTTTCTCACAATCTTCTCCATCACCTTGCATGGTATACAAGTTAAGGACACTGGCCTGTAGTTCAGTGCCTCTTGTCTGTCACCCTTTTTGAATATTGGTACTACATTAGCAGTCTTCCATATTTCTGGTAGGTCTCCCGTTTCCAGTGACCTACTATACACTATGGAGAGTGGCAAGCAAAGTGCTCCTGCACACTCTTTCAATACCCATGGTGAGATTCCGTCCGGCCCAACAGCTTTTCTCACATCCAGCTCGAATAGGTGCTTCTTGACCTCATCTCTTGTAATTTCGAACCTTTCCAAGGTCGCCTGGTTTGCTGCCACCTCTTCTAGCGCCGTGACTTCTCCCTGTTCTATTGTAAAGACCTCCTGGAACCTTTTGTTGAGATCTTCACACACCTCTTTGTCATTCTCTGTGTACCTGTCCTCGCCCACCCTAAGTTTCATCACCTGTTCCTTCACTGTTGTCTTCCTCCTGATGGGACTGTGTAGTAGCTTTGCTTCGGTCTTGGCTTTATTAGCTATATCATTTTCATACCTTTTCTCAGCTGCTCTTCTCACACTGACATACTCGTTCCTGTACTGTAACAGTTACAATATTGTATTGAAACATTTCAATGTTTCCAGTTTCATTGACAAATAGAATATTCAGAGATTTCCATTTATTTTAATTTTGATTTAATTATTTTGCGTGATATTGCATTGGAATTGAGCTGTGTTGTTTACTATACCGTTCATTTTGTGAGAATTTTATTTTTGTATTTTTTTCCTTTTTTTCATTTTTTTCTTAATTGTTTTTCTTATATTTCAGTGATGGAAACATAAGATCATTTCATGTTCACAATTTTCTGATGGGAACATCAGACCATTTGGGAATGCATCGGACGAGGGGACGCGGGAGGGGGGGGGCTAATGGTGGGGAGGCCGAGGGGAGAGGGGAGGGGAGAATGGTGGGGAGGATGAAGGGACAGGAGTGGGGGAATTTGGAGAGGTACAGGGTAGGGGGTAATGTTGGGAACAACAAGGGGATGGGGGAGTTGGGGACGAGGGGACAGAGGAATGGAGAATGATGGGGAGGACAAGGGGACAGGGGAGTGGGGAGGACGAAGGGACGGGGAGAGGGGGGGAATGGTAGGGAGGACGAGGGGACGGGAGAGGGGGGGAATTCTGGGGTGGACTTGGAGACAGGGGAAGTTTGCTGTGACTCAGCAATGTGCATTCGTTGCTGAGCCACAGAGTTAAGCTGAGCTGAGTTAAGGTGGCATGGGCATGAATAGGTCGTAAATGGAGATTCTTTCGAGCCATTACCTGTACCAATAGCTGATACTAGAGATCTGGGGATGGATGGGGTTCTTCATGGTGGATTTCAGCAACGGAGGGCTGACTGTACCAGTTATGGAGCTGAAGAGTTAGTGTAGACCTCTATGTCTTCCGTTTTTTCTTTGGCTGGGACTTGCTGCGATTTGACATGGCCTGGCCAAGTCAAATCGTTGAGTTTGGTGAGGTGGTATCCATAAGGAGGTGTAGTGCCGTGTAGGTGTCGTATTTGTGGTGCATCAGTGGAGCTTCTACTAAGGTTTCCTCGTCTGAAGAGTCCGTAACATCCATAGTTGGTGTTTTCGTCTTTCGCCTCGCAGCCTGAGGTAGACTCAGGTGTCGTTGATTAGTGGTAGGAACTATTTCAGGAGCGTTGGTGGTGCTGTTAATATGTGTAGACAGCACGTCTGCTAGCGTGTCTGCTGAGATGGTGATGGTAGAAGTGTTGGGAGCTGGAGTGGAGGTTGCTGCTGCGTGTGCAGCCTGGGACCTTGGTGAGACTGGGGTCTGAGTTGAGATCGACCTTGTGGTCGATATTGTGGAAGTGCCCTGTGTAGTAGAGGAAGTAGTGAGACTTGCACCAGGGCCTATGATGGGAGTCCAGGCCATTGGCTAGGTATAATGCGTTCACCTCACTAGTGAAGCGGTGGTTGTCTGGTCCGGCAAGCCTCTGCGCTAGTCTAATAAGACCAGGGATAATGCCTGCACATGATGCAGGGGGCTGTGAAGGATCCTGTGGGGCCTTGGGCCCCCATTGTGAGGGCTGGGTCGCCTGGTGGGAGGAGCCACTTTTTGGTAAGACTGGAAAGTCTTCTGGTCGGTGGGAGCTGAGGTAGTGAGTTAAGCCCCTGGGCCTCTGGAAGAGAGGTAGAAGGGTTGTTTCTCTTGGCTTGATCCTCGGCCTTGATGTTTTCCTGTCTGCTGGGGCAGCGGTAGGAAATTGCGGGGTGATCGCCACCACAGAGCAAGCAGCGTAGGGTTGTTGCCTGGCATATAAAGTAGTGATGGTCCAGTGTGCACAGGCTGCACTTCTGGACGGAGTGCTGACACTTGTTGGTGGGGTGGGAGAGCTCGTAGCACTTGAAGCACTGCTGGATCTCTCGGTATCGTTCCTTTCTCACTTGGTGAGGTGCATGGTGTCTTTAGGCCGAAGTAGTAGAAACCTTGTGTAGCAGCCTGGCTGGCCGCTGCTAATCAGGTGAAAATTACCTTAATTATTGTTTTATCATCGCTGGAGAACACCAATTCAAACACGCCCAGGGAAGGGTTTTCGTTCTCGATGTTGCGAATGATCTTC